ATTTTTGCACGCCTGGCCAAACAATGGCTTTTAACCAAACAAACCTGTACACATTAATCTGTCCTGTATGAATGCAGCAACATGAACTGTAAATGTGTAAATCCTGTATGGATGTCGTGACTGAGACTGAATGGGACTATAGTTTTACTTATTGACTGGATGAATGATTGCGTCACTATCAGAGACTGAATGTGGAAATTAGCAATTTGTCTATAATCTAGCACAAGCATATAAATTCTTTGTTTAGCTCAATGTTTTTATGTGCATTGTCCCTGATAAATAAACAAATAAAATAAACTATATTTGATTTGAACATGTCTACACTGTATCTGCCAACACAGATCATGTTTATGTTAACTTAAAATAAAAATCTTAGACACTTCCTAAAGTAACATAACATTTACAATTAGAGACGTAACGATATTCAAATCTCTCTGATATTTATTGCGATATTTTGGTGAGGCTGATAATTGTAGATGGGACACTTTTTTGCTTTTAATACCCTGACAAGATTTTGATGCAATTTGTTGTCATAATCCCAAGAATTCAAGTAAAAACATATTTCTTCATGTTGTCTGCGCTGAAATGAATCATGGGATATGTAGTTCCTGATGTTTAAAAGCTATTGGTACGATAAAACTATGCATTTATGCAAAGGATTTTGTAATTTGATATACTGTGACAGCCCAATGGTATTATTGCAAGACTTTTAACGATATGATATCATGATATTTTGGTTATCGTTACATCCCTATTTACAAAGCAACTAGCGGTTCTGCAGAGACCTTCTGTGTCTCGTAATGTGACATTAGCCATAACTTTAATTATATCTATCTATAATTGCTCATAAAAGCTGCACACCAAACAATGGCACAACCTAGCCAACTTGCTCCATATTCTATTTTTACATCGAGTAGTAGGGTGAGCAGACATCCCTATTTACCCAGGACAGTCCCAGTTTTGAGCTCTGTGTCCCCTGTCCCAGCAGATTTATAGAAAACCATTGATTTTGTCCCAGTTTTACACATGAAATATCCCAGGTGTCCCCATTTTTGACTAATCTGATACAGGGTTCCCACTCTTTTTCACTGACAAAATTTCTAAAGTTTTCCATGACATTTTCATGACCTACAGTGAATTTTCCAAGACTTTACCACACCTACATGTGTAGAATTGATCATACATTTAGGGCTAAATATGAAATGTTAACCCTATCCACTCACCTTATGATTTGGGATTATAGTTTTTTAACATTCAAAATCATGTCAGTGCATTTATTGTCGTCTCTTTTAAACAAAACGCACATACGTTCAGAAATAATCTAATGATAACAGAATGCTGTAGTTGCGTGAAAAAGACCCTAAAATTCCGATGTCTATGACCTGCTAATAGTAAAAAGAGGGTTAAATTGTCATTTGTTTAGGTGAAATACAGAAAAGCTGCTTAAAAGTGACCAAAACACAAAGAAAATATGACTATATTGACTCACGTTTTAGTCATGAAGTGCCAAGTGCAGAACAATTTTAATTAATTACGCACTCGTTTCACAGTTTTATTATTACCAACCCCTCCTAACCAGGGATTCCCAGTTTTTTTTATTTTATTTATTTTGAAATTAGCCTACAAGTCACGCACAAACAGTTTTGCACATAGGCCAACTTTTAAAACGATTCTCTTTCCATAGGCCAACAGTGGGACGTTTAGCTCCTCCCTGCAGTAGAACATGCATCAGTAAAGCAAATTCACAAAAAAGCAATGAAACACAAATGTACGATAACCAAAATAAACCGATGAGTGGCGCAGTAGGGCTTGCCTCCACAGCCCCGTGAGGAGAGCTCCAAAGCGGGCAGCAGCACCTCTCTATCCACGGTGGGTGACTGGAGCTTCACCTAGATATAAACACGGGAATTCCTCGCTGTTTTCCCGCTTTGCACGGAGGCAAAGCCCATTCTGCCCGTGTTCTGTCGAGTTGGTATGACTTTCGGTGAAGTTATTGTTTAAAAGTTAAGTGTTTAAAGGTTGTATGGAGGATTTTTTTTGTTTCAAATTGTCAATGATAGAATTATAGAGGTGCAGTAGCCTTGTAATTATGATGACCAAAAAAAAGAGAATAAAAATTAATCAACTCTGGACGTGGTGGGGCCAACTAAACATTTGCCAATAGATAACGACACTGCCTCGTTATCTGTTAGCTGATAGGCTGTCAATCAAACTCCCTACGTTTCTAGCCTAACTGACTTGCCTGCTCGCTGCCGTTACGTGGTTTACGTACGCCTGTCACGCAGTCCACAGACGCACAGACGCAAGACGCACAGACGCTGTTTACTCCACCAACGCAACAGTTCTTAGCGGCTTTTTTTTACCTATATCTTCCTCGCAGTTAGCACAAAGTTTGTTGCAATGGCGACAAGAATCCAGGAGCAGTTGGCCGCAAAAGAAAGTCAGTTTTTGAGGTCGCTGAAAGAAGAAGAGAAGGGGAAAAGCAGCGAAGCCAAACTAAGGTGATTCTTGGAGATTCATTCCAGCGATGGCGCGACTGAAGCAGACGCAGGGTCTAAAGACTGACGCATTGGTCGCCAAATTACTCCTGGACAGGAAACTTCTGCTTATTATGAAAACGTACTTTATTTCCAAGAGCTAGACAAACGTTTTTCAAGACACGAATGCGATATCCTATGTCTGAAAATGTAATTTTCAAGGCAAAGAAAGAGTCCGCTTGCTGCTGCGTGTTGTAGCTAGTTCATTCACACTGGAATCTTCCGTGCACCCTTCTCTGCACCCTTTCCTGCTCCTCTCCCCGCTGCCCGTTCCGCTCTTCCCCCTGCTCCTCACTTCTCCGGGCACGGAATCTTCGCGCACCGCTCCCCTCTCCTCTCTCCTCTCTCCTCTCCTCTCCTCTCCCTGCTCCGCTCTTCTCCCTGCTCCTCACTTCTCGTCCGCGCACGAAATGTCCGCGCACCCCCTGCCCCCGCTCCTCACTTCTCCACCTTGCCTAACCAACACTGTAGTTAGTTGTCAAGTCATGTGCAGCGCACCGGCTGTAAACAAACCTGTTTCTGGCGTAAGGAGGAGGAGGGAGGAGCCGTTTCTACGTAGGGAGCTGTAGGGGAGGGGGGGCGGTTTCACGCATGCGCAACATTTGAAAAAGGACAAACAGTCTCTGGATTTCTCGTTCCTTGGAAAATCCTCTATACAACCTTTAATTGCTGCACGTTTGGCGGAGTTTACGTGCAGGTGAGTGGTCACGCATGCGCAGAGCTTTGTTATTATGTGAACATATTCTAAATATTCAGAATACTCTTATATTTTTATGCAACTAAATACATTTAATACTGTTCTAATATTTTAACACAGGCCTAGCTGACACTTAAAGTAATGTTTTGTTCATAATTTATCAGTGGTGATTGTGATTTTTATTTTTTTAATACAGCTAGCCTATAAAAGACCCATATTATGCTATTTTCTCATCTCTGCTATGTTGTTTCCTCATCAAAACCATACCTGCAGTTGAGTTTTGTTTAAGACACAAGTCCTGCGTATTTAGACCTAGACTGAGTTCATCTCTCAAACAGAAAACACTCTGTTCCACCTTGTGATGTCATGTGACAGGAAGTGCGTCACTGTTTTTAAACTGCATACACCTTCACTAGAATCGTTTGGATAATTTTAGATCTGGAAATGCTAATCTTTACTTAACAAAAATGAAAAGGTAGTTGTTGATTTGAAAACTATCGCACCGTTTTTAGGATTACTGAAACATGCAGGAATGAAACTAAATACAACTCCATGTATCTCTGATGAGGAATCAACATGGCATAAAGTAAGGCTGTGCAAATAATTAAATTCTGATCACGATTTCGATTTTGTGTGTCAAACGATCTCCAAACTCATATAATCGAGTTGAAACAATAAAGCTTAACAAAGATTATTTTGGGATATTTTTTATTTAAATTAGTATATTTATTTATTTACTTTTTAATATAGAGATTGTAGAGCAGCTGGATATATAGTTTATTTTGGATACTTTTATGTTTTATGACTTATTTCATGTTCAAAGTATATTTTATTCATTTCATTTTTTTATAGCCTAATTCATCAGCCAGTTTCATTTCGTAGAAACTGTCTGACCTCACAGCATTAGAATTGGTTCGCTCAAAGGTAGGTGGGTACTTTTTTTAATTTAACCAATCGCTGCTATTTGGTTGTGATGTTTGTAATGCGTGGCTAACGGGGCTAACTGGTATATTAAGCTTTTCCTAAATCCCGTAGAAAGAGCAATAACGTCTTTCCCCTTGATAAAATTCACCAAACATTCACTTTGTTCTGGCTTTAAATCCTCGATCTCGGGAATCGTTGCCAACACAGAATGTATGGCTCTTTGCTGACTGGCTGGTGCCCGGACTCGCACTTCCGGAGTTTTTGCGAACTGTCTAGTGTATTCCAATTCCTGACCTTTTTTTGAGAGAGAGAAATACTGAATAAATGCATCGTGTAACTGAACAATAATCATTTGAATAAGCGTGATTTCAGTATTGGCCAAAATAATCATGATTCTTATTTTTTTCCATAATCAAGCTCTAACATAAAGTCAGTTTTGTGTAATATACGACCTTTAAGAAAATAAGCCTAATGTAAGCAAGATGGTAACTCCTCATTCATAATCATTTATAAAGGCTATCATCAGTTATCTCCACAATGTAGCCTGTGTTATGATATGAATAGACTACGATGACATTGCAGCTTAGTAGCCTATTGTACTATAAGCTACTATGTGATTATTAGTCTTAGTATGAGTAGTAATTTTGTCACTTGTACAGAATCTTTTAATGAACCACTATATTTTTATATTTTCGCCTGTCACCGGAATATATTAATGTACATTCTGACCATTCCATAATACTACGTGTTCCTCCTCTCCCCCCTGTCCCCCACTACTCTGCTGTTGTTTCTCTCCCCACAGTAGCAGCTGCCGTGCATTTTTTCCACGGTTTACCCTGACAGGACCGCAGCCAGCCCTGTCAGCCCGGCCTCCTCCACTTGACAGAGAAACACTTCACAGTGTTCGGCGTTTTCGACCGTCACCTGACCCCTCGTCTTCGCCGTGACCCCAGTCTCCGGTGCGCAGCGTGCCAAAGGACATGACAGAACCACCAGAAGAGCTCACCAACCGGCCCTTCGCGGTCCAACTCAGCAATGTTTACCTCAGCATCTTGGCCCTGTTCTGCTTCAAGCTCTTTGTTAAAATCTCCCTCAACTTGCTCACGTACTTCTACATCGTACGGGGCAACCGCAAGGAGGCGGCCAGGATATCTGCCGAGTTTTATGACTACGGACAGCAGCACCGTGAGTAGCAGTGTGCAGCCGAAACAAACATGGAAAACCTTAGCAAGATTTGGCATAGAATGAGTGCTTGCATTGTAGTGAAGTCAACAAAACAAGTCAGTTTCATCTGCAAAGATCAAAATATGTGATCTTTTTATATACAAATCTAGCTGTTTCTTTAGTTTAGATCTCTACAAACTTGTTCTGTAATTAAGTATTGAGTTATCAGTTCATATTTCAGTCTTCTCTCAAATGTTAATGCTCTAAGATACAATGTGCACTCTGAACAGAATCCAAGTTTTTAAACATAAATTGCAAATCGTAGTATTTTTCAGAAAAAAATACTTTAAATTCTTTCAAATATTTCTTTAAAAAAACATTGCATTTCTTTTATTTTTATTTTCAAAGTTGTTCAGCCCTGCAATGACAATAATAATTTATATTTTTATTATAATATTTAATAATTTTATTAATATAATAATCATTTTAACCCACATTATGCCTTTATTAGACTACTCCAGAGTAAATATACATGTTTACAAATACGCCATTCTGAACTTAACCACATAAACCTCATATCATGTAAAAGTAAGTATGTAGGTAGGTTTTCATGATAGTCAATGTAACTTAAGATTTCCATAATAGTAACTGAGAAACACCACATTCAGTATTAAATGTACAAATACAGACTTGACGCTAGCGAGCAGCTCTTTTTCCTCTGATGTATATTAATAGAACATAGTCACGGTACCCTCCCCGCCACTCACCACCCCCTTCTTGCCCTACTTTCCATTCGCAGAGCTATGCACCCGCTCACACTATCAACCAGACAGGCACCAAAACATATGCAACCAGATGTTCTGAAGGAGCCGGGGAGACGAGTTGACAACATAATCTGCAGCTATAATTCGAAAGAGATATTACATTTAAAGTGGACCGTCTCCACAGAATAGTAATTAGACTAACTTGGAGTATCTGTCACGGTGGTTAGAGGCTTGCAAATTGAAAAACTGAAAACGTTTTTGAAGTGTGATGAATGAAATTGACCAGGAAGATAATGATGCGAATGTGTGGAACGCCTTAGCAGTGATTTTTGATATAGACTCAGGTGTGTAGGTGAAACAGTTGGATTATAACTTTATTTATTTATAACTTATTAAGTTTTGTTGGAAAAAAGACAAATGTGTGTCTGTTTTGCAGGCTCGTGGGCAGACCGCTCACCGCTCCACGATGCAGCAGCTCAAGGCCGTCTGCTTGCACTCAAAACTTTAATTGTCCAGGTAAAGTAAGTGAGCGTTTCCACAGAAACTTTTTTTTTTTTTTAAGATTGCCACTATTGTGAATAGTGTATTGTTAGTTGGGTATTCCTCCAAAAAGCGTTTCCTTCCTCTATTATCATACTCTAGTATTACTGAAATGAACTGCAATTTGACATTTATTTTTTTTTAATTAGTTTAAAATAAACCTTTTAGTTAGTGCTTTACCCTTGTGTGAATATTAACTGCCCTTTGAACCTTTCTTATTTTTCTGGGGCTTATGCCTCCTGCATGTCTCCATGGAGATGTTATGGCTTTGCCTGGAATGTTCCACAGTATGGAATTTAACTTATCTATCTTCAGCAGGTGACACCATCTGATTAAGTTACAGGTCAGACATTTCAGAGGCAACTCCTTTAAAAACAAGATAATAAACAGCTTTTACTTTATAAAACAACGACATGTGCAATATTTTATCAGGAAATACACCCACATTACACACATTAGTATAATTACACATTAGCACATAAGTTTAATTACATAATTTAAGATTCAGAATGTGAATACCTCAACTGTATTTAATATAAATAGCCTAATATAAGTATGTTTTGTGAATGCAAAAAACAATATTTATATCAGTCTGCAATATCAACAATTAAAGAATTAGTATTATGATATGTTTTAGTTTTTGTTTGTTTAGCGAAGCAGCTTAAGGGTTCTAGTAACATATTATATTATCCTGACCAAATTTTCATAACTTAGATATTGTAGGCAAGACTAATGATGGAAAAAATCTGACAATATAATGTGAACCACCTCCCCACTGTGTCACCTGTCTGAGCTTTATCAGTACAGCCAAACTAAAAATAAACACTTTGTTTTTCAGGGCCACAATGTAAATGTCCTGACCATAGACCATGTGACCCCACTACATGAAGCCTGTCTGGGAGACCATGTGGCCTGTGCAAGAGCTCTTATAGATGCCGGGGCCAATGTAAGTACCACTTCTGGTTCAAGTCATTTTATCAACAAATATTAATTTACTCTTTGAAAAATGTTGAACTGCTTCATGGACCCTCTACAACAAAGCTCACTGATCACAGGTGAATGCGTCCACGATGGATGGGGTCACGCCCTTGTTTAACGCCTGCTCCGTGGGCAGCGTGACGTGTGCAGAGCTACTGTTAGAGAACGGAGCCAGACCACAGACACTGGTGTACCAGCCCTCACCCATACACGAGGCCACTAGTAAAGGTACATCTGTGTACAGAGACCACATGCCTATGTGAAAGGATGGGGTGTGTGTGAGTGATTTTTGGTTCTGGCTGGATGGGCTGATAGCACAGACTGGCAGCCTCACTTCAGTCAGTCTGCCCCAGATCAGCTATTGTGACAGTAGTTTACTACCTTTAAGGGTAGACTGATTGTTTTCAGTTTTGATACTGAAAATATAATATTCCCTGAGACTAAACCTAGCTGTTACGTATCTGTACAATAACCTCAGAACAGCTTTGCATAAATAGTGTATAAAAAGTTGAAACATTTTGCCTCTTTGTGTTTTAACTTTCTGCATCCAATTTTGAATGGCTATGGCAGCAGTCCTAATTTTTCATCACTCTGAAACTTGTGTATTCGAGCCAGAATTTATAGTACTATAATGTATTCATCATGATCATTTTAACATTGTTACATTATTAATCTACAGCAAAGACATCTATCAATGTTATTATGTAGTGGACATTATATAATAGTTAAAGCCCATAACACACTTCAGTTAGCATTATCTCCTGTGGTCTACGTTGCCTGTGTGATTATGGTCACATTTTTCTATAGCGCTTTTCCACCTTCAAGGCACTCAAAGCGCTTTACAACAAGGAACCACTCACCCATTCACACACCAGTGTACGCAGACACTGTGGGCAAGGTGGGTTAAGTGTCTTGCCCAAGGACACAATGACAGCATTCATCTGTGGGAGCTGGAATCACACCTGTGATGTTTATTTTGAGAGCTGGAATCGAACCGCCACCTTCAGATCAGTGGGCGAATGCTCTACCAACTGAGCTACTGCCTCCTTGACTTTGAGTTCACTGAGTGTGGATCCTCACTAATCCTGTATGACCTCAGACTGCAGCTCTCTCAGTACTCTCTGCTGTGATTGGCTCATCAGTTTCATTCCTCAGGACATTACGGCTGTGTGGAGGCTCTGGTGACGTGGGGGGCGGACGTGGACATGGACATCCCTCACTTGGGCACAGCACTGTACACGGCCTGCATGTGCCAGGAGCTGGAGTGTGCCCGCAAACTGCTCAGGGAAGGTCAGACCACTGCACACAAACACAAGAAACCATATGTTAATGGTACACAAAAATGGAACACAAGGTGTTTAGAACAACTTTTTTTTTTTTTTTTTTTTTAACAACGTAGTGTAGGTATTTTCATTATATTAAGAGTATTATGCAAAATTGACTTTTTGGCACTTTCTACCACATTATATCATAGTTCCCTCATCAAAAACATGCCTGAGGAGGGGTAATGTTATCCATGCTTGTTTCAGTAATCTAGCAATCTCTCCCGGCCCATATTCAGACCCTCCTTTTGGTTAGCAGTACAATCCTATTCAAATCTGAGCCCACAAACCTACATGCTCACCCATGCTCCCACACTGTAATTTTCCATAAATATACAAGAGCAATACACTACAAACGTGATGCGATGTGCAGTAGTTTCATTTGTGGGATGCACACTGATTGGTTGTGCTATTATTATTATTATTATCATTATTATTATTATTATAGCACTTTGAAGAGTGAATGTCTTAGCAGCCCTTCCCTCACTGAAAAAGTGAACAGTTTGGTCAGTAATCACTGTTGCGCTGCTCCATGCGTAAGTTAGGCGATCCATTTAAATTCAATGGGGAAATTCAAGGCACACACCGCGTGTACTGCAGGCTGCCACTACTTATTGCCTCTAGAAAAAAAAGGTTTGTTTTAGACTGTGGGGAATGTGGGGACCATGACAGAATGGTTTAATAATAAGAAACATGTCATGAATTGTAGATATGTTTATTATTTGGCCTTCTATAGGTGCGGATATTTGTAAGCCACTCATAGAGGGTGAGGAAGAGGTTTTTATATTTATATAGATATATGATAATGTACATCAAAATAGCAATGAACAAAGAATGCAAAACTCTGCTGCTGTAATTTTGTTTAACTCTGTTTTTGCATTTATTTGTCAGGGTGTTCAAGGTTACCAAATACTTCCACCCTGATGGAAAAATAACATTTGCAATAACAGTCTACAGGGCATGTCCTTATTATGGATGTCACTGCTCTACGAACAGGAATGGCAATCAAATTACAAATTCCAGACTGTATTGTATTGGTTTTTGTAAGAATAATTGTGTCCGGTCTCTTGGAATCCAAATACCAAATAGAAAATCTGCAGAGTCAGACACTGAATGAATATACATAATATATAATGTAATCGAAAAAACACCCAGCACACATAGTGTCCTAAAATTTAATTTGATATCAATACTAAAGAAGAGGCTCAATACTGATTCCAATAACACAATCATAATACATTTTTAGACAGTTGTTTTCAACATAAAATAAAAAAAAATTTTAATGTGTGGATTTTCTTCTAAAATATTCTGGAGAGGTCAGATTTTGTCAAATTTATGTGTTGTTGTTTTTGTGTTTTTGTTTTTATAAGTATCAACACTTGTTCAAAATTGTGTGTAGTTTGTTTTGATTATTAGTGTTAGTATTGATTAGCATCTGGATATTGACACTTTCGACAACCGGACATATCCATGCAGACGACACATGATGTGGGTCTTCCTGACAGGTGCAAACGTGCAGAAGGGCAGGTCCCAGGACTCGCCCTTACACGCGGCTGCAGAGAAAGACTGCACTCCGGTGGTCAAACTGCTGCTGGACTTTGGGGCTGATATAAATGCCAGGAACACAGAGTACCAGAGGCCTGTGGATGTGGCCCCGCCCAGTAGCCTGACTGAGGGCTTTCTACTGCTCTATGAAGGTAAACAGACAATACTTTTACTGTATTTTCCGGGCTATTAGACACGTTCTTAAGCCTCTAACCCTATCAAAAAACGACGCCTTGCCCTATACATAAATCCACTCAGGTGTCCCAGCATGACTTCATTAAACTACAAAGCCGCACCACCAGCAGCACACGCAAACACACACGGAGCAGACAGTGACCGCGCAGCAAAACACACCCGCAGCCACACATCACTCCACGCGGATGAGGAATGGAACGGCACCGTCCCTACGCGTCACAATTGAACAAAGCCCGGAGTCACCATGAACGTGCCAAACAAAGTCCGACTGACCCATCTAACTGCTGTGTTTTAAAGTCCGGTGCGGTTTATTTGTGAAAAAGTTTGAAAATAGACAAGTCATAATCCAGAGCGCCTAATAGCCCGGAAAATACGGTATTTCAGTTTTTTGTACTTAACCCTTGGGAGTGGTGGGGCACAGGAAGTGAGATTGAGAGAACTAAGATTCCATGCGCGTTTCAGGGTAGTTTGACTGAGTTTGACTGAGGACGGTAACAGTTCGCAGGATAAAAGTGACCGTCCTCCTCTGAAACCTGCAGTCTGGTCATCGCAGCTGACGTCCAAACAGAAGCCGGATGAATTGTGGGAACATGGGTGTGATGGGCCCTGGAGGATCTTGGTGCCTCTCCTCACACCAGAGGACAGAGCTCTTAAGCCCAATTTATGGTCGTGTGTCAAATCATCTGCGCCTTGAACCCCGACCAATGTGCACCTACAAATTTTGTAACTACGCGTCAAACCAATACATGCATCCTGAATTTCGGCCTTCTGGTCATCACACAATGCATACTGGGAAGGATCCTCCGAAAAAGTGAGCATCAACCCGCCATGTTAGATTTCCCAGTGGGATGCGTCTATTGCCAAAGTCGATCTTTTCAAGTCTTTTGAAACATATTGCTTTTGTTTCTGGTTCTGATATGGTCATATTTTAGTTATGGGATTTGGACATTGTAATTGTGTGGTCATTGGATGTCTTAACAGTGGAAAATGGCTCGAGAAATGGGCTTTGGAAGTTTGCAAATAAATGCACAAGGGAATCAGATCTGTGCGACTGCAAACCTCCATTCAAACTGTTTCTCTTCCCAACGAAATAGAAAAATAGTGAAAGGCGAAGGCAATGGGCAGTACTGATACACAGGAACCCGTTTGTTAAGCGAGAGGTACAGAAGACAAACAGACAAAGCTTGCACTTTCTAGTTCTTGTGGCTTTACAGCAACATCACGTCTTGGTCGCTTTACAGTGGAAGTTGTTTCTTGACAGCTGGTGCCTTTCGCTTTGACACTGACTTTTTAAATTCGTAACCAAGGTTGAGCGAGGGATCGGGATTTTTCTTTGTTGGTGCCCCACATATAAAATGTTCGCTGCAAACTCGGGATGATTTCTTAGGCAGCCAAAGGTTTCCTTTTTGGTTCTTCCTGTGGATCAATACTGCCCATTGCCTTCGCCTTTCACTATTTTTCTATTGCGTTGGGAAGGGAAATGGAGGTTTGCAGTCACACAGATCTGATTCTCTTTTGCATTTATGGAGTTCTTGAGTCGTTTTCTGGCATTAGGACATCCAACAACCACACAATTACAATGTCCGAGTCGCATAAATAAAATATGACAATATCAGAACCAGAAACAAAATCGTTATGGTTCAAAAAACTTGAACAGATCGGCTTGGTCAATAAAGGCATCCCACTGGGAAAACAAACATGGTGGTTTGATGCTCACTTTTTCGGAGGACTCTTCCCAGTATGCATTGTGTGATGACCGGAAGTCCAAAATTCAGGATGCATGTAGGCAGACGATAAGAGCTGTGATCGGTCCTCTCTACCATCGCTCTACAAACATTTCGGTACTCCACTTTCTCGCTTCATTTTGTATACACGAACGGCATTTTTAAATCCTAAACTCCTAGCATTGTGGTGGTGAATTACTTTGCGGCGCATAGACCTCGACGCAGATCCATAAATCAAAAACTACAGTGACACAGAACTATAATTTGGCCTTTATAGGGAGTAGGGTGATTTTGGAAGAGACTTACGTTCTGCAGCCTCTTTTGATTTTGTACAGACATGGAGTCGTATCAGAGCTGTGAAATGTAAACATAATATAATGAATCACTTTGAAGTAGTTAACCTTCCAGTTTCAGTTCCACAACAATAATAGTAATAAAGATCATACAGTATCATTTTCAACACAAAATAAAAGTAGTTTCAGTATTACCTTGTGGTCTCTTTACAAGTGAATGTCTGTGTCATTATTATTCTTTCTCTGTGTCTCCAGCGACTCCACGCCTGCTGAGTCAGATGTGCCGTCAGTGTATCCGGGGCTGTGTGGGGCGGGACCGGCTGCACCTCCTGTCTCACCTGCCCCTCCCCAGCAGACTGCAGCGGTACCTGCAGTACCAGTGACACCCCCACAGCCTCCTGCACCGCTCCTCCATACTGTCCTGCTAACGTGTTTTAACAAAAGTCCACTCTGATGTCACTTTTAATGTAGTAGCACTGTCCAGGTTACTAAATGAACTTAATTGGATCCTCATTTTGGCTGATTTTGAGCACTTTCCTACTTTTTATTACTTTATTGAATCTTTACTGTTATAGTCTGGTTATTTTTTTATTACTTGACACTTGGAATGTCCGATGTTTATCTCGGAGATTACGTCAGTCCGAGTTCTGACTTCCGAGTTGCGACTGGAATGCAGCATAAATAAGACTGTTGTTCAAAGTGTGGCTGCAAAAGAATCCGTGTATCATTTGTTTATTTGTTTTCAATATAAAACCAAAAATAAGAAAAATGAAAAAAACAACTATTTTCTTCATTATTTGTCTCCAAAATCAAAATGAAAAAACTGATATTCAGTTTTCGATTTTGTTTTTCAATGAATAATGGAAAAAAAAGAGATAATGGCCATTTCCCGTTTCCATGACTTAAACTGTGATGCTGCATACGGACTGAACCAGGACTGAACCAGGACTGAACCAGATCGGAACCAGACCGAGACTGAGACTAGGACTAGGACCAGATCAGGACCAGACCAAGACTGAGACCAGGACTTAGACCGGGACCAGGCCAGGACTGTGACCAGGACTGAAAACGGTTTAGTCCTGATTCAGTCCATATGCGGCGCAAAAGTCCGGCTTGGCAGTTTAAGTCACGGAAACGGGAAACAGCCGTTATCCATTTTTTCCTTTATTCACTGAAACGCAAAATCGAAAACTGAAAAAACAATCGCTATCTGTTTTTTTTTTCATTTTGGTTTTGGAAACAGATAATGAAGAAAACTGTTGTTTTTTTCATTTTCTTATTTTTGGTTTTATATATAAAAACAAATGAATGAATGATACATGGATGCAAAAAGATTATTTATCTGTAAAAACAAATGAAATTTGTTTTAACTAGTGAAGATTTAACACTTATTTACCGCCCTTATGGTTAGACTTGATTCAAACTGGTTTTCTTAAACATATGTTGAAGTAAATGTACTACTTTATCGCATATACATATCACTATCAAAAGGTGCACTATGGCTTTTTTCTGGTTGGGGTTAGTCACCTGCCTGTCTCATGGAAATGTTATCACTTTGCCTGAAATGCTGCACAGTATGGCTGTAAACTCGTATATTTTTGTATTTATTCAAGTGTTTTTATTGCCAAAATACAGAAATATCAGAGCAATCCCATCTCCATGCAAGTACTTAGTCCACAATTAAAGTTACAAAGTGTGCCTTTAAGTCATTTTAAGTCATGTAAATATAAATTTTTTTGCTGTGTATCGAGGTTATTTAAAATATGAGGTTATGTAAAAAGATTTGAGCACTTAGATAAATGTCTATAATTATGCACTTCGACACTACAGGTTATAGTACAGCGTATCTGCACTGTAATACATTGTTTTGTTAGAAACTAATTGTGAATGTATATATGTTACGGCCACAGGCCTCCAGATCCTCCTCTGGCCATATCTGGTTAGATCTGTGTGTGTGCAAACCTCCATATACAGACCCCCTGCTGTGATGCTGTGATTGGAGGATTCAATTTAAGATGGCATCTGGAGCCCCTCCCGCTGATTGGTGGAACCCGAAACACCTGACCAATCCTGGGCCTACACCTGGAGCTCTGGCCCTATAAAAGGACCCGCCCCCTGCTACTCATGGCTGCTGTTCTGCTGTGGACTGCATGCCACTTTTGCTGTGTCTCTTTGTCTGTGCTGTGGCGCTCTAATTAGTTTTGTGAACCTAGAGACACTAGTAGTCCTTTAGGCTTTGTGAGTTTGTTTTGAGACTGGCTTGTTTTTCTGTTATTGTCATTTACTGTATATACTCTGTTTTTGTTACCCTACTTTTAGTTATACATTTAGCCACTCTATTTAGAGCCGCTTTTTGTTAAGTTTTGTAAATATCCTCCTTTTGTTAGCTTCACCTTAACAGTTCTTTTAAATAAAACACAACTTTAGTTTTACCATTTTACAATCTTGGTTATTTTGTTGTTTCCCCCTGTCCCTAGCAGAGCTGGGTCGTAACAATATAAAATAAAACAATGTTATTATCAGCAACTTTTGTGTCTTCATTTGTCAAAATAGTTGTTCCAAGAGGTCTAGCCAGTTTAGTGGAATCTGGTTATTACTATTCTGCCCTACAAAGATAGAACGCCGTAATATCATGTTTGGTCAAAAATGAATAAATAATAATACATCGGACTTATCCAACGCTTTTTTGGACACTCAAAAATGCTTTGCAAACAAATGATTAGGATTTTGATTATCTTATTTTATTTTACTGGTTTTATTATTTTAAGACTAGTATGGTTATTTTAGTAGTGTATTTTATCATTTCATAATTGTTGTTATTATTATGTATTTGTGCAGCACTTTGGAAACTGTTTCTATAGTACATTTCACAAACAAACAAAGTGGATTGGACTGAAATCAAAAGTGACACTGTAGAAAACGGGGGAATCATGGAGGGAATGCCAGTTTTAACAGGTGAGTTTCTGTGGGAGTGAGGTCCAGAGGGAGGGGTAATGAATGTCATTTTGTTTGTATTTGAGACCTCCTTTATCATGTGAGTAAATATTGTGAAAAATATTGAGCTCAAAATTGACCTTTGACCCTTATTTGGCAGTTCCTGTACTCTGTATCATGAGCCAAAAATAAGGAGTCGTGCAAAGACAAAAGGCAGAAACAGTGTAAGTTTTGTTTGTGATTTAGTTTATAAATATTTTTTATTTTAAAATCCAACCTCTCACCTCCTTCTTTTTGTTGCAGCCTTGGCACAGGGTCTTAACACATTAAACTTTACTTAAATTATCTGTAATGTGAAAGTATTTTGAGTATTTATTCATACTATACATAATATACTGCAAAGTCACTTGTCTGTCAAATCCTGATCAGCACTAAACAAGAAATCCAAAGCTCTTCTAGATCATTTCAAACAAACTTGTGATGTAGGTTGACCGTGAAGCGGATTGGGTTCAGTGAGTCAGGTTAAAAAATCCAGACATAGACAGGAAGCAATGGTCCACAGTTTACTTTTTGTTTCAGTAATGAAGGCTGTACCAAATGGTGAAGTTTCTCGAGTGCATCACATGTGCATTGAATTTGTTTGACTATTACACATTGAGTTGTTTAACCACTGAAATCTTATGTATGTTTAAAGGTACCACTGTGTGAAACATGTATGCTTTTGAGGTAATCCTTTGCAGATACAGGTTGTGTCCTTTTAAGGAATTTCATTGTAAAGCAGCAGCAGTGGAGATGGTTTGGTCTGGTGTGAAACTAAACAAACTGGTGATTTACATTGGGCTGCTGTCAACTCCCTAAACCTAAAGGAATGCAGAGATACTCCAGGGAAGATTCAAGGCGTTACCTGTTCAACATATTATTTGCATATTCATGTCTATAAAACCTGGGTTAATTTAGTTCAGAGGCAGTCAGATTGCCTGATCGTAAGACCTCTGTAGCCATAGGCAGTTAGGGACAACAATCTGACCCAGAGCTCTGTATTAGAATTGTATTGTATAGGGAATTCTTCTCTAAATTCTTTTTGTTTTTAATCGATCGATTCCAGTGGTTATTTTTAAGAGAACACGCTGAATGATTTTTTGAGGATACCTAACAATAATTACAAGAAGTGCAAGTGCAAAAAAAGTGCAGGGTGCAAAATGGAGGCAGGCGGCAGTTTCCTCTCCAGCAGCAGAACCCAGACTGATGTTTTGAGGCGCCTTTTATGCTGGTCTCACTGATTGGATAAAACTACTATAGCTAAAATAGGGATGGTAAAATTATCTTAAAATCTTAATCTAAACCTCCATATAAATGCAATCAATCAATCCATAAAATAACCAAAAACCAGATAACTATTAAAACCATCAACTATATGCATAAAAACCCTAAAACCATACACCAATTAAATTTTAAAACCAGTAAACCAATAAAACACCTAACCTAAAACCTCTGTACAAAATAATATACATAGTCCAGCCCGGAACCTTAAAAGAGGGAGCTTGGTTCTGGTGGACTCTTTTAGCACCTGGACAGAAGATTAAAAAAGGAGGTAAGTAAAAGCAGAATCACACCATTCATTAAAACACAATAAAACACACTACTAAACACATCAACATTTAAAACATTTCAGAAACAGATATTGCACCATGTATTGCACTAATTGAATTTAAAATGTAATTGGTTAATTGTCTCCTTTCCCTCCAGGGACCAGCAGCTTCCAATTAAAATGCCACTGTGCCTCAGGATTAAAAAGTAGTAAAAAGGAAAGACAATAAATATTTTTTAAAGCAACTGTGTGCAATTTCTTTTTGTCATGTGCAAATATGTTGAAAGTGCTGTGTGCTATCAAAGTGCAGTGTTTTAAAGTGTCCTAGTGAAGGGTGAAGGGAACCAGCCTGTTTGTTACAAAACTCCATGATTACTAGAGCTTGGTGAGATGTTTTTCTTATCATGGATGGAAGTCTGGGCAAAATCAAGTAAATAAAGATCATGTAAATTGCCTTGTTCCTCTGCTCAACTCCTTATTTTTTGGCTCATGAAGGCAGAGAACAGGAACTGACAAATAAAGGCCAAAGGTCAATTTTGAGCTCAGTATTTTTCACTTACAAATACTTCTTAATTATAGCAACTAGTTATCAAATTTTGGCAGCCCTACTTATTATACTGTTGTCTGGGAAAAAAAATAAACTTTGAAGGTCTTTTGCCTTTGTAGGGCAGTATAGATCTACTAAAATTAAAAGAACTGAAAGAAATGGCAGATTATAAAGTTTAACCTCGACTAAACCACGTTAATCAGCTCAGTATTTCGTGGATGCTGTGCTCCACTTCCGCCTCTAGATGGCGCCACATCACTTTCTGATTGGTGACACGCTGTTGCCATGGAAGCCTGCAACACTGAGCAAACTAGCGCTCAAAACCGTGCACAAAACACCGCTGTATCTGCCGTCTAATTGCAATCCCAGGACATATTAAGTGAGTGAAGTGATATTTATTTGTCTGTCTTAAACTGCAGCTCAGAATGGCGTTGTCCCTCGTGTCCCCGGTGAGGTCAGACCTGCCCAGAGAAGTGCTCCAGTGGATCCTGAACCTCCAGCTGTCCTTCTACCCCAGGAATGTGCGCAGGTAACAGGCTAACTTTAGGACAATGACTTTACATAAACAGACTCTAATCTAATCTAATCCTGGCCTCACATGTATCGTTGGTATAAATAAATACAGGCCCATAAACAGTGTTGGGAAGTTTACTTTTAAATGTATTCCCCTACAGATTACAGATTACATACCCCAAAATGTAGTTTGTAACATAATCCATTAAATGACTTAAAGTGAGTAATGTAATCTGAATACTTTGGATTACTTGATTTGCTGTAGAGAAACAAAGACGAGGAAATCTTTACATAAGAAGTTTTGTCTGATAAAAGAAAATTTTAAAAAGTCCAGACTTTACTGAACCAAATTAAAAATATTATTGATAGAAGCGGAGGAGACACGGTCCATGCAGCATGATTTAGACCTGGTTTAGACCTGGTTTTAGACCTGGTTTAGACCTGGTTTTAGTCCTGGTTTAGTCCCGATTTAGTCTTGGTTTAGACCTGGTTTAGACCTGGTTTTAGTCCTGGTTTAGACCTGGTTTTAGTCCTGGTTTAGTCCCGATTTAGTCTTGGTTTAGACCTGGTTTAGACCTGGTTTAGACCTGGTTTTAGTCCTGGTTTAGTCCCGATTTAGTCTTGGTTTAGACCTGGTTTAGACCTGGTTTTAGTCCTGGTTTAGACCTGGTTTTAGTCCTGGTTTAGTCCCGATTTAGTCTTGGTTTAGACCTGGTTTAGACCTGGTTTAGACCTGGTTTTGGTCCTGGTTTAGTCCCGATTTAGTCTTGGTTTAGACCTGGTTTTAGACCTGGTTTAGACCTGGTTTTAGTCCTGGTTTAGTCCCGATTTAGTCTTGGTTTAGACCTGGTTTTAGTCCTGGTTTAGTCCCGATTTAGTCTTGGTTTAGACCTGGTTTAGACCTGGTTTAGACCTGGTTTAGTCCCAGTTTAGTCCCAGTTTTGACCCGTTCTAGACCTGGTTTAGACCTGGTTTAGTCCCAGTTTAGACCCATTCTAGACCTGGTTTAGTCCCAGTTTAGACCCGTTCTAGACCTGGTTTAGTCCCAGTTTAGACCCGTTCTAGACCTGGTTTAGGCCTGGTTTAGTCCCAGTTTAGACCCGTTCTAGACCTGGTTTAGACCTGGTTTAGACCTGGTTTTAGTCCTGGTTTAGTCCTGGTTTGGAACTTGTTTTTGACCTGTTTTTTGTCCTGGTTTAGTCCCGATTTAGTCTTGGTTTAGACCTAGTTTAGACCTGGTTTAGACCTGGTTTAGTCTTGGTTAAAATCTAGTTTAGACCTGGTTTAGTCTTGGTTTAGACCTAGTTTAGACCTGGTTTAGTCCCAGTTTAGACCCATTCTAGACCTGGTTTAGACCTGGTTTAGTCCCAGTTTAGACTTGGTTTTAGTCCTGGTTTAGTCCTGGTTTAGTCCCAGTTTAGACTTGGTTTTAGTCCTGGTTTAGTCCTGGTTTGGACCTGGTTTAGACCTGAGTGGAATTACCGGAAAAAAAATAAAAAATTAAAGGGATTTAGCCCAAAATGTGAAAACAGGAAAATCCCGCCGTGTAATCCATTTACTTCAACCAGGTAACTGTAATCCACTGAAACAGTAACTGTTACAGTTACTCATAATTTGTACTCTGATTACATAACTCCGGTACATGTAATCTGTTACTCCCCAACACTGCCCATAAATTCTATAGGTCTAGACCAGGCTGTGCAGTCAGTGAGTGCGTTTACATGCGCATCAGTGTCCAGTTTATGAGCCTTGTCCTGATTCTGGATATGGTGAAACCAGGATACTCATGTCCCTGTGCACATGAGGAGTCAGAGTGTCCTGGATTTTTACACTGATTGCAACAGTAACTGGTAAAGATAAGGCAAGGAGCTAAACTGCCCTACAAAGTCAAAAGACCTTAACAAAAGTATAATAGGTAGAGCTACCAAAATTTGACAGCTAGTTGCTATAATGAAGAAATATTTGTATGTGAAAAATATTGAGCTCAAAATTGACCCTTCCTGTTCCTGTGCTCTGCCTTTATATCATGAGCCAAAACTAAGGAGTCATGCAAACGCAAAAGGAAGAAACTGACATGATCATTATTTGCTTGATTTTCCACAGACTTCCATCCATGATAAGAAAAACACCTCACCGAGCTCCAGTCATCATGGAGTTTGTTTGAAATGATCTAGAAGAGGTTTGGATTTCCTGTTTAGTGCTGATCAGGATCGTGCAACGACACTTACACAGTTAAACAGTTTGACAGACGAGTTACTTTGCTTCATAGTATGTAAAGTATGAATAAATACACCAAATACTTTCACATTACAGATAATTTAAGTATAACTGAACACAAAGGTATATTTATTTAATGTGTTACATCCCTGTGCCAAGGCCGCAACAAAAAGAAGGAGGCGACAGATTGGATTTTAAAATAAAATGTATTTATGAACTAAATCACTAACAAAACTTACACTGTTACTTCCTTTTGTCTTTGCACGACTCCTTATTTTTGGCTCTTGATACAAAGGCAGAGTGACAAATAATGGTCAATTTTGAGCTCAATATTTTTCACAATATTTATTCACATGTTCTCAAACACAAACAAAATTACATGAACCCATTTTTGACCATACATGATGTTACGGTGTTCTGCCTTTTTAAACATGGAACAACTTTTCTAACTTTTCAAAAATTTTAACGGGTTTTTAACAACAAAAAAGAAAACATACATACAATTAAGAACCTGAGACTGTGAAGCTCTGTCACAACTTCAGTAAAAGGTGTTTTTAACAGTTGAAAAATACAGCACAGTGTCACAGAGCCAGTTTGGTCCAAGAGCAGCACAAACCACCACAGAACTGAGCCTGATGTTAAAATCTGGCTGTATTAAACAGTACACTGCTTAATTTTGTTCATAAGTATCAAATAAGTTTAAAAAGTCCTGTTAGGAGTTTGAGTCCTTTTGGGCAAGTAAAAGCGTGTCCTGGGTCTTGAAAATGTGTTATTTATACCAATTTTATACACTGTATTTTCCGCACTATAGGGTGCACTAAAAAGCCTTTAATTTAATCAAAAACGACTGCGCATCTTATAATCCAGAGCGTTTTATATATGAATTTATTTGGGTGTCTTAGTACGACTTTAGTAAACTACAAAGCCGCACCACTTGCAGCATTACGGCTACAGTAGTCAGGAGCATCGACGAGTAATACGTACTGTGATTCCTTTTAATATCAAAATACACCTGTCAAGAGACACACTTACAACGCCCACTTTAAACTCAAGGCTGTTATAACGTTAAAGTGCGAACTGCGTGGGAGCAGTGGATGAGAGAAGGAAAACACACATTCACCAAGACAGGGAGACCGCGCCGAGCGACTTACGCCACGATCTGCCAATGGATCGTGGACACCTGGGCTAAGGATCAGTATCAACTGTGGTCCGAGCTTTCACCAAGACCAGAATCATCACTGAACTGCCAGGTGAAAAGTAATGACACTGACTCGGATAATGACGAGAGGCATGCGGGCGTGCTGGACGCCGTAATCGCCCAGCTGTTTGAACAATTATGAGTTATTGTAAATACGCTAACAATTTAGTGATCTCAGACTTTTTTTTTTACGCGTTACAATTGAACAAAGTTGAGAGTTATTGTGAACCCGTTAAATAAAGTTTGACTGACTTATTTAACTGTTGTGTTTTGTTTAATGCGCCTTATAATCCAGTGCCGTTTATATGTGAAAAAAGTTCAAAAATTCACCATTCAACGACAGAGCGTCTTATAATCCAGAGCGCCCTATAGTGCTGAAAATACGGGATTTTTTGAGTATTCTGACCATCTTAAAACATATTTGAAAGTATTTGCTAATCTGTGCATCATGTCACTGTGGTAACTGCTGAATATCTCACTACAGACACACATGCAGTATATGTACTTTTCCATTTCCAGAGATTTCTCCAATGGTTACCTAGTTGCAGACATCTTCTCCCGGTATTACCCCAAAGTCTTTCTGCTGTATTCATATAAGAATGGAGCAGCGCTGTCCATCAAACAGGACAACTGGAGACACATACAGAAGGTGGCCACAGAAATATAGTACGTGCTTTATTAAATACGACAAAGAAATTTATTTTAACTTACTTTTTATTTCTCAGTTCTTACAGAAACTCAACATAAACTTGTCTCAGGATTTGATAAATGGCACAATGCACTTGGAAAAGGGAGCTGCTGAGAGGCTGTTGACAGAAATATACGGCATTCTGACTCAACAAAAGTAAGTAATTTAAATCAAGCAGTCATTTTTGTTTTTTCACAAATTACGTTGCATGTTTCTGAAAATCTCACAAATTCTCTCGTCTAAAGCAGAAAAGGGTTGTACTTTCACTTCAGTAACGTTTTAAAGAAATTGTAATTTTCAAAGTACTTTTCTAGCAGCAGACTTTTACTCTTATTTGAATAATGTTTTTATTTTAGTGGCAGTATTCTTACTTGAGTAAATGTTGTGGTTCCTCTTCCCACTGTGAGTAAGACTACAAGTGACATTTGTGTTTCTGGCACTGCTCCTTTAAATATGATTTAGTTTTTCTCATTTTTATGTCTGTTTGTTTTGGCTTTCAAGTTAAATTCACTTCATATTATAAATCAAATGTTATGTCCCAGCTCTTACTTTAGTAGTAATTTAACAAAATACTTTTTGCTCTTAATTGAGTAATTTCTTGGACTACTTTGTACTTGAGTAATTTATTAAGTATTATTCTGAAGTAACATTGCTCACACTTGAGTACAAGTTTTGGCTACTCTACGCACCCCTAGTCTGGAGTTATATTTTCAGGCAGAGGGCAGGGTACCACTAGCCTGATTCATCAGCCGGTTTCACTTTGTGGAAACCGTCTGACCTCGCAGGATTAGAATTTGTTCGCTTGATGGTAGGTGGGTACTTTTTTATTTATTTGGTTGTGATGTATGTAATGTGCCACTAACGGGGCTAACTGCTATATTAAGCTTTTCCCAAATCCCATAGGAAGAAGAGCAATAACGTATTTCCCCTTGATAAAATTCACCAAACATTCTCTTTGTTCCGACTTTAAATCCTTGGTCTTGGGAATCGTTGCCAACACTGAATGTATGGCTCTTCGCTGATTGGCCAGTGCACGGTCTACAACATCTGGGGTTCTTGCAAACCGTCCAGTGTATTCCGATTCCTGACCTAGTCGCTGGAGAGCATTGAAATTGAGCGGAGGCACTAGGTGGCGCCAGCAGGGCCACCAACTCTAACCAAAATGAATGATTCCTTTGCAGCCCTGACGTTGGGAGTAGCCTGAACGCTGCCGAGTCTGACCTGAGCTCAGACACAGAGAGGAGAGAGGAGCTGCTCTCGTACAAGCCCAAGGAGAGGACACACAGCACCGGTGAGACACAACCTGGACCAAGAGACTTTTAAAATAAATGTTCAGTAGTATGTTTAAGTTCAGTTGTAGAGCACAAGTCAAGTACAAGGGTCTGTACCTGACGTGTTTCTTTGTGTTTGAGCTAAACTTGTCTTACCCCAGTACAGATATAGTGTATAAGCACCTCTTGAGGGCAAATTAAGTCAACTGTATACTGTCTGCATCTAATTAGAAAAAGTTGTATTGGATGAGAATCAGGAACTGAGCTATTAGCCTCCTAGTTGTTCTTCTAAACTCTGCTATAGCCTCTGAAAGTTGAGAAAAGCGCTCCTAAACTTACCACAGTGAATTAGGATGCGCTGAATAAATAAGGTAAGGGAGGAATAACTTTGGACCACTGCAAACCGTAAGACAATAAAATCAGGCACAGTGTCTTTAGGGAATAAGAAAAAATATCTTGTTTTGAGCCTGGATTTGAACATTGTAGTGGAGTGGAGTAGAGGTCTGTCTCCTTTTATGTTCAGGGTAAAAAATAAATGATATAGTCACAAAAAACTGTTAGATTTGTTACATTAGTTGTTCATTCCCTGACCTTTAATTTACACATATTTTTCTTGTTTTCACAGAGCAGTTTTCATCACCATTTCCAGCTTCTGTTCCCTTTAAGGAAATCAAAGTGCACCAACCCATCAGACGCCACATACAGCAGTAAAACCACGACTACCTGATGCGGCCGGCCTTTGTTAGTCACTTGTTATGCTCCAAACAGACACAAGGGGGCGCCATTGTAGAGTTCTGTGTGATGAGGCATACTGCAGAGAGATAGGGTGACCAGATTTTCAAATAATAATAAAATAATAATAAAAGTGAGTGTGTAATTAAGGAGATTTTTTTTCAGCATTCAGCCCATTCATGATTAACATGAGTCAGAAAAGTCACATTTTCTTTGTGTTTTGGTGATTTTTAAGTAGCTTTTCTGTATTTTACCTAAACAAATGACAATTTATGCCTCTCTTTACTTGGCAGATATCAAATTGGACAAAAATAGGGACACCTAGGATTTTTCTTAGACTTGGACAAACTTTTTTGATCCACAAGGGAAATTATTTACACGGAGCAGCTCACACATCACAAGATAATGAAAAGAAAAATTTAAATGGTAATAATGAAATCTAAATAAGTAGCAAAAAAGATAGCAAGAGAAAGTACATAGATGGTGACAGGCTCCACTGGTATCCTCTTCCTCCTGAAGTCAATCACCAGTTCCTTGGTCTCGTCAACGTTCAGGAGCAGATGGTTTGCCTGGAACCACTCCACAAAGTTTGCAGTAAGTCTCCTGTCCGTCTCTGATACACCCAACCGCTCCAGAGTTATCAGAGAACTTCTGTAGATGGCTCAAACTAGGACCTGTACTGGAAATCAGAGGTGTAAAGAGTGAACAAAAATGGAGACAGGACTGTACCCTGGGGGACTCACACATTACTGACCACTGTATACGAGAGGGTTGTCTCCAGTCGCACGCACTGAGGCCTGTAATCTAAGACACAATGGAGGAGCTGACACTCATTCTGAGCAGCTTCTCACTCATCAGAAAGGAAATTTCTTGTACCGTATTTTCCAGACTATAAGTCGCTTTGGAGTATAAGTCGCACCAGCCAAAAAATGCGCAATGAACAAGAAAAAACATATATAAGTCACACTTTCTGGGGAAATGTATTTTGTAAAATCAGTGACCAGGTAACCAACATTTCATCTTGAAAGGCAAGAAGTTACAGTAATAACAACAGAATATGTTAACTGTTAATATGTCAACGTAACATATTAACAGTTATTCAGATAATTATAGCATAAACATAAGTTTACCAAGCTCTCCATCTCAGTCCACGTCACTAAATACATTGAATTTTTCATCCTCGGTGTCACTTCTGCGCGACCTCTGGAGATATAAACCATAGATGATGTAAAAGCAGCGCCGCTTCCTCTTCTGTGTAGCTGTTGACAGACTCAGCATCAGTTTCAGTTAGAATTTTTCTGGCCTTTCTGAGTCTCGACAGGATGGTTTCGGTTGTCATTGAAGTCCAGGCTTTGTCGATTCATCCAGTGACTTCCAGGAAAGTTGCATGGTGCACGCTCCCGGTTACCGTGAAGCTGTGTTCTCCATCCCCGCTTTCCACCAGTCAAATACAAGTTTCTCGCTCACTCCAAACTTTCTTTCTGCTGCTCTATTACTGTTTTCGGCTGAATATTTCACTATTTGCAGCGAGACAGTGGCTATTTCTACATGAGACGTGCGCAGTAGAGTGCGAAGTGACAGTGGTACAGGAATAACAGGAGTAGCAGATATTGACACACAAGACTAGAGCGCTCTCTGTCATTGTGAAAATTTTAATACATAAGTTGCACCGGAGTATAATTCGCAGGACCACCCAAACCATGAAAAAAATGCGATTTATAGTCCGAAAAATATGGTATAAAACTGGGACAAATCACCGTTGGGACAGGGGACGCAGGGTTCAAAACTGGGACTGTCCCGGGTAAATAGGGATGTCTGGTTTCCCTACCAAATCATGAACTGCTAATACTGACAGAGCTCTTTTCTGTTCACACACAGACATAGATAAGAGACCAGCTGTGGTAACGCAGCATATCAAACTGAAAAATATGATAAATTCTATTCGCTATGTCAAAAATATCTACATTATAACATCTACTGAGACATGGCACAGTGTTTCTGGATCGATCAGTACGAGTTATGGCATTACTGAATCGACGTATCGACCTGTTAATGTAAAGAATTGATTGCAGTATTTAACGCGCCTCATGTGGCCTAAATGTGCTCTACTGGTGTTTGATTTCTTTGACAGAAATCGTTAGCGCTAAGAGAGTGAATTGAAACTTGGTACATTTTCTCTCTATATTGATACTTTGCAGCAAATGTCATTAACATTCCCTGGAGTTGCGATGCAAACTGAGACTCTGCTCTGTCTGAAGCTTTGTGACTCAAGTTCAACTTTAATCTAAGCTTTATTTTAACATGAGCTGAGCATAAAGAACTGACTTTGTTGGAACAGGTGAAATGATTAAAAATAAAAAGCCTGTCCTCAGTAATATTACAGCCTAAGCAGGACTGTAAACACTCTTATTGATCACAGGCTCATGAAAATATATGCTGTTTAAATCCATTTTGTATTTTTTTCTTCAGTTTCTGCTTTTATGGCTATGTTTGATCATGTGTGCATTGTGTCACTGTGGTAACTGCAGAAACATTCCACCATAGACATACATGTAGAACATCCCCAATGTCGTGACATTGAGACGCACCAGTTGTCATTCTTATTACTTAAGTTCAGACTCCACCTCTGCTCAATAGCTTTAACTTTCTTTTGCGTCCTGCTTCACACAGGTTCAGATAGTGAGGACATACACAAGCACAGTGTCCAATGAGGTTTATTTTGGTCTTTCGATAATTTATGTTATTAGGTTCTTTTTTTAGACAAAGAGTTTGTTTTCATACCTGACAGTTTCGACTGCTCACTGCTCACATGGTCATGTGATGTTGGTGTGACGTGTCCAGTCAGCTGATTTATACATGTTTTGGCGCTGTCTTCCTCCCGGTGGAAGAGGCACACTGAGGAAGACCGCTAGTGAGCAGCTGAAACTATCAGATATGAAAACAAACTCTTGGTCTGAAAAAATAAACTAATAACACAAATACAGTGTGACAGGTTAAATACAGTGTGACAGGTTAAATACAGTGTGACAGGTTAAATACAGTGTGACAGGTTAAATACAGTGTGACAGGTTAAATACAGTGTGACAGGTTAAATACAGTGTGACAGGTTATCCTACATGATAAAGACAATCATTAGCATTAGCTGTGTGGGCGGCAGTAGCTCAGTTGGTAGAGCATTCGCCCACTGATCTGAAGGTTGGTGGTTTGATTCCAGCTCTCGATACAAACATCACAGGTTGAGCGGTCAGATCCACTGACCCACAGGTTGGCTGGTGTGATTCCAGCTCCCACAGATGAATGCTGTTGTTGTGTCCTTGGGCAAGACACTTAACCCACCTTGCCCACAGTGTCTGCGTACACTGGTATGTGAATGTGTGTGTGAATGGGTGAGTGGTTCCTTGTTGTAAAGTGCTTTGAGTGCCTCGAAGGTGGAAAAGCGCTATAGAAAAATGTGACCATTTACCATGTGCAAATTATCAAAATATTAAGACATTCATGAATGCCTAGTATTGGTTTTAGGGTAATTTATTTGAACAGATTTTCTTTATTCATTTCACCAATTTTGATCTGAAATGTGAATGTTGTATTAGAGATATGCTCAATTTTATTATTGAGTATATTTAAAATAATAAATAAATATTTATAATAATAATAACTAACTGATTCACCCATCAACCCAAAACATGCACAACGGGTCAATTCCTCCAAGACCAGGAACAATATCTGTAGACAGGTCCCCAAATGCTGTGCTGTGATGCCCACTGATCCGGACAGTTTACCCGGTCAAATGGAACACAAAATTGACTCTTGTCAGCTTTAAGCCATGTTAAAATGCTGTTACCTCATCAGAAACACACCTGGAGTTGCGTTTTGCCTCACGTAACTCTGCAATATTACTCTCTCTTCATCCTCAAAGCTGAAAATGCTCTGTTCCACCTTGTGACATTATGTCATGGTTGTTTCCAAGTTAACAACTACCTTTTACCTTTTGTTCCATAAAGACTGGCGACTCTAGTGCTGAAATGATCCAGATGATTCAAGAGAAGGTGTAAGGAGTTGAAAAACACAGTGGAGCATTTAATTTGTTACCAGAACTCTGCCTAAATATGCCGGGTTTGTGTGGTAAATCCACAAATGAAACAACACACAACTCCAGGTATGTTTTGATAAGGAAACAACAGAATAAAATAGCTCAGAAAATAGCGTAATATGAGCCTTTAACATTGTAAAAAGTGTAAAACCGACGCTGGTGCTTCTGACTCATACAACAACATGGAACTATGTCACTCAATGTGCGATCTAAATGTATTCACTCTTCTTTTCACGGCAATATCCATTAACTCAACTCAATCACTGCCGAACACTATGGACTTGTGAGCTGTTGTAGCCATGGCAATAGACACGGCGATACCTTGGATCGTTTGGAGAGGATTACGTATGGTTTATATGTTCCCTATAAACAATATATATCTTGTGATAACAGTCTCACACCCTGACCTCCTTAATCTCCGCCTCTTCTCCCTCGTGAGCGCAGCAACAGCTCCCCCGGGTGCTCTGCTGGCTGTGGATAACCCATCACCACAGCACCCTGAGGCAGATAAGTGACCAATTACATTTCTCTGACATTTACTGCCCCCAATAGGCCCTCAAAGCACATAGCACAGGGAATTACTCACATATGCATTCGCACAATCACAGGTGGCGTGGGGTGTCTTGCCCAAGGACACAGCAGTAGTTGAATACAGGTCAATGATACTTACAGACGGGGTAATACACTGCGAACACAACATATTTAGATGACCCGGAAAATGCTATATTTGCCAAAAAAACTATAAAAAATCATAAGTTTTAATTTTGTTTTTTTAAGCTCTGAGTCCTCTTCCCCTGCCTTTGCTTTCCTTGCTAAGTCACTCCCCGTTCAGAGCGCTTTCACAACACAATTAGTGTGCGTCCTACTAATGAAACGACTGCACATCGCATCAGGT